GTCACGATGAACAAACCCCATTGATTCTAAATAGCTCATACCACTTGCGATCTTCATAAAAAAAGTAGATAAAAATGCTCATAGATTAGTATGTAAGCAGATGAGTAAAGAAGTGAGAAAAATTGTCATTTTATTAAAAGCAAACTTTGTATAAAGTAACTAATTAATTATTGCAACGCATTCTAAAAGCGGCATAGCTAAAATGCCATCTCATGATAGGTTCATATTCTAAAAAGGATGCCCAGCTGGTATCAAATATCCAGGGAAGCTCCATAATCTGTTAACTAAATAACGTCTCATGTGGTCAGATGCATTGATGACCTGGCCAGTGAAAACAAACTAGTATTTTGCGCAAGGTATGGATCAAGTTCAATTTGGGTTTGTATGATTTCAGATTAGAGAAAGATCACATGCCGAGTTTTAACGTTATAAACACAAAAATACAATACTAACAGAGGCAACATGATGGAACCCAACTTAGCCTTGATATATATTTCATATTATAGGCAATGCTTAAGATAACGAGATAAGAATTAGCTGTAAGGGAAAGAGATAAATGAAGATAGATAAAAGTTGTGTAGAATATGCTCAAAATAGTAAATGTAAACGAGCGCAAGCATAGTTATCGAGACGTTCCTTTCGTAGGAAATAGCATGAGGAAGACATTCTTTGGGTGATCTCACCTAAAGACAACAGCAAATTCCCGTTGTTCTGAAGCCGTTTGGAGTTAATATTACGTTCATGTTGCCATAGTCGATGAGGCATCATCACTTGTTTGTGAGGAAACCAAGCTAACCATTGTCTTAAAAAGAGGGAGAATGTCTCGTGGAATGTATCAACATGAACGCAGCAATAAAGCCAAGCAGCTGCAGAACAAGAATCGACCGTCGTCTTCCGGTGAAGTAAACCAACGAATCTCTTCATAATGTGCTTTCATACGAAATCGAAGTCTTCCCAACAATGTTATTCTAATAGATCCGTCGAAAGCCAGTTACTATTCGTATCTACAGGTGCAAACAGAAATGACATTAAAATCGAGGGAATAAAGCTGTAAACCTGATGAAATTTCTTTAAGCTTGAGATTTATCAGGCCCTATATTTATAAAGTAAACCACAACTATTAGATTGTAGATATAGCATCTCTGAGAAACTAACTAAAGAATCAAAAATAGCTTAAAATAGAAATCATCCCAGCAATCTTGGCGCATTAAGAGCCCACGCAGAGGGACAATATAACCAAGACATATAGAAAATTTAAAAGAAACGATCAAATAGTCCCACAAGCTGAAAAGATACCACAGTGGTGATGGGCAGGAAGGAATATAGAGAGAAATTGGACAAAAGTATCGGGGACACTACAACTTATCGACTACTAGCAAAATACCCAACAGTTAAAATCAGAGATGCACTGCAAGAAATGCTGAAGTAAATGAATATGAACGGGG